AAATTGAGAAGCGCGGTCGAAACAGGAGAAAGGTTGCACTTTGTTTACAAGTATCAAAAAAAGTTACATTTGACGCGGTTAGATAAAGCAGTACAAAAGAAAACGACGCAGTCGGAACACTGAACTAAAGCGGAAAGCACCGGTGAATAATTACAAAAGAAAGGAAAGGCATTAAAAGGATATGTACAAGGAGAGAAGCTTAAATGAACATTGCGCATGCGTGAATCAAGTTCAGGACACGTGGTGTTAAAAAAATCGGCGGGAAACTAGAAAAATGTTTTTAAAACTTATCCGATGGAAGCGATACGATGACACAAACGGAAAACGCACATGTCTACATCAATGCTCCTTGATAACAGCAATTCTTGAGATCACTCAGCGCATCATGGAAACATTACTGTGCGCCGCCCATATAAGCGTCCGGTGAGGCTCATCACAATCTGTCGATTCACACAAGAATCAACTCAAAAACGTTGGCGGGGGCTCGACATTAACAAATAGAAAAGAATTCTACATGTCCGATACTCGAGTGAACTTCAGGCCGAATAACGCGTCAAAAATCGCCAAATATTTAGAAACGCAAGAAAACGCGTTGAAGTGCGTTAAAAACATTCCCGCGTGAATACCCGTTAAAAATGTGCACGCATGAAACGCGTTTCACATTTTAACGTCAGGAAACGAAGCATTTCTCGTTAAATTTGATGAAACGCGTGAAAATCCGTTAAAAAATGCACGCGTTTTCACGCGTGGTCAAAAATTAACGGATTTTCTTGAAGTTTTGGCCGTTAAATGGCGTTAAAAAAGCATTTAACGGAAATAAACGCATGCATTTGACCGAAATCTCCGTTAAATGCATTATTATTTTTACATGGACAGTTGGCCAAGAAAATGATTTAGGCACGATTCGACGAGAGAATTGCTCCTCAAACATGACCATTTCTTCGATAGCATGCAATCTGACTTCCTGCATGGCTACAATCCGATCGATTCGTTCATTCAACACCTGATCAACATTAGGAAGATGGGACGATAATTCCTTCCATAACTATTGCTGACGAATATCGTCTTTGAACTTCGTCAGTTGATGGTTCACTTGATTTAGCCAATGTTTTGGATGTATTCGAACAAATTCTTTGAGTGAGTTATCGATCATGTCCAACGACAGTAATATCGATGGACAAACTAGAGGCTGTGCAATTAACTCCACATTGCACTGCTTCAATTTCGATCTCAGTTCGATCAGATACTTAATGACAAACTGTTCAACCAATTCACGAGAACTTGTTTCTGCCATCACCACTATTTGATCCTACATTTCGGAAAGAAATATAATCATTGCACAGTCAATTTCAACAACCATGCTGTAACGGGTGGCGCATAATAAATGAGCCGAAATGTTTCGGTCTTTTTAGGGCACTTCCCTACTCATTGAAAACTTCGTTCTATACTCATTCGATAGAGAATTTTCTGCTCTTTCAAATCATGTACTTTATTCAAAAAACATATTCACATCTTTTTTGTAACATTCGATAAATTCGATTAGTCCAAGAGTCAATACTGCGACGTACAACTTCTCGTCTAATCTTTTTAACACCAGCTCGAATTTCACCGATTAAAGTTGTTTTGTTCGTAACTTTGTCCCATTTCATCTGACTACATAATTCATACCATATTGAATAATCGAGTGGGTTAAGATCGGGTGAATTCGGTGGCCATCGTGATTTTGACCAAAAATCCCAAAAATGATCTTTGCACCATTTTTGTGTGTGATGATCCGTATGTGCTGGTGCACCATCCTGCTGGTAAGTAAATTCACTACCCATTAATTTTGTACCATCTTTTAGTGCTATTGGCAATATTTCATTGATATATCGTCGATGATCAATTGTACCTTTTTCAATAATAACTGGACGAGTAACACCATCATGACAGACTCCTAACCATACCATCACACCTTGAGGAAATTTTGTTTTTCGATGGATTCCACCATTAAGATCAGCTTGTTCACGACTTGGAGCCCATATTCTGTCATTTTGTTTGTTATAAACCCCATCGATATCAAATCGTTTTTCGTCAGAAAAAAGAATTTTTCTTGATAATGATTTTCTCACGTTCTTTCTTGCCCAAATTCCAAATGAAAATCTTTTTTTCTTTTCAGTGTCTGTGAGTTTAGGAGCAACACGTTTAATATATGATTTGTATCCTAAATCATCTTTAATCAAACGTTGCATAGTTCTTCTTGATACATTGTGGACCATAGCTAATTTTTGTGTTGACATTCTCTTTTTACTTTGAAGAAAATGGAATTTAATTTGTTTGATCAATCTTTTGGTTCTTTTTGAACGTTTTCGACCAGATGGACGTTGCAAATCGATTTCGCCAGATTCCTTGAATCTTTTTACCCATTTGTTAATTGTTGCTTTACTTACTTTACCTCCAAGATGTTCCATTATCTTTTGACCACTTAAACCTTGAGCATGTAATCGCAGTACTACATTTTGAAGGTCTTTGCTTTTCATAATTTTTAATGCTAACGAAAAAATATAATAATCTAAAAAGTATATAGGTAGAAAGAGCAGAAAATTCTCTATCGAATGAGTATAGAACGAAGTTTTCAATGAGTAGGGAAGTGCCCTAAAAAGACCGAAACATTTCGGCTCATTTATTATGCGCCACCCGTTAAACTAACTGGCCAGATATGTTCCTTGCAACCGACATCGAAATAAGTTTGCCATAAACGTAGACTTATTTCGAAAAAGACAAATCGATCAAGCATGTGAAGTCGTTCCAGAACAAACGTTTTTTCTTTTACTGTCTTCATAGGATGATCCAGTTGGCGACTTAAAACACGCAGAAGTAACGCTTGTAGTGTTTTCAAATATTTCGATGGTCTACACATAACATACATTGTATGTAAATTCCACCGTTCGATACACAGAAAATTAGAGACCGATAGTCTATTCAGACAGTGATCATTATCATTGTTTGACACCGGTTGATGATCTTTCCTTGTGTTTTGTCTCTTGCAACGTTTCTTCTCCATAATCGACAACCCGTCAGCAACCCATTGCTGATTGTCTGCTACAACCATTCCTAAATAGAAAAGACGTTCTTTTCTCTGTTAAGCAAATTGCGTCAAAACTACTCACCCTTTAACCTCTCGAAGTTGGTGGTCAGAAGATAAGACAAGTTCAAGATGTACCACTATATCTAAAAACGAGAAGGATCAGAAATAGCAATGATTTCTATTTTTTTCTCGACTTTTAACTATAAACGGATACATCATTGAAACTACTTTGTAGTCCATTGTAGATGGATCTCGATTCCATAGTCTTTAGGTTTTCTTAAGTACCTTTCCGATCATTAAAATATCTGTCGCTTTATATGTAGCCTGGTTGTAAACAATGATAATTCCACAACCACTCTACCGAAGGGTGAGGGTGAGTAGAGCTACCATGATCCGGAGTTCGTCCTTACTAAAGGGACTCATCAGATGGTTTGAAATACTTGGTTTTCTCTCTCGTACCTCCTCGTACGTAGAAAGAACTCCTTTAGATCTGAATAAATCAAAATCATTTGTTATATAATGACGATGAACCTGCTCGATTATCAAAGAAAGCTGACGAAATACGAGATGTATTAGAAGAGTCAACTATACGAACGAATAATGAATTAAGAAAGGTTGCCGTAAATCTACAAAATGAACTGGAGGACACCAAACGACGACTTACTACATATTGATATGAAATGAAAAATAACATTGATGATGATAATACTTGTTAGTGTGTATAATACAAGTTTAGCTAGCTTATTTGAGAATATTTTACCACCCATTGAATGAGGTCTTCGGGAGTAATTTGAGGTGTGTGGGTGAGGGTGGGTGTCATCTGTCATTCGCCGTGGGGTGTGGGTATCTTATTTTGACCATCACATTTCACACCACCCACCTACACCTT